TCACAGACTTCCTTAAAACCAATCTGGGGCTCCTCAAAGACTCAGGTTAAGAACACCTACTTTGACTTGAACTCCATTAAGTTTGTAGTTATTTAAAATCTGCTTTTGAAATGCAAATATTGGCGACTTAATACTTTACCATGAGAGTATGCTCATTTATGAGGGCTATCTGGAAAGTATCCATCCATTGTTAATATAATGAGACCATATTACATGGCTAGATACTTTCCAGACAGCCTTTGTATATTCATGAAAAGGAATGTTCGATATTGAACAATATTTAATACATTTGGTATTAAATCTGTTCAGTAATGAACAGATCCTGTTGCATTATCCCTTAAGGGATAATATATGGGTGTATCTACATAACAGTAGCATACATGTAAGGATTTACTCTCCTTTTACTCTCCATTTTTTGATGGGACCTAAAACGTGATGGTGTGATTTTGCATGGGATTGTTTAGACAGAAGAGTGAGTAAACAATCTCAGGGATTGATGCTGACAGAAAATAAAGACAACAGCACTTCCTCCTTAAAATGCACCATATCTGGAGCTGAGAGGCAGTTGGTAGACTTCATGACATTCTTTGTGTTTGGAGATGAAGTTTTTAGTTAAGTGGGAGCATTTAAGTAAACTATCAACTTTACTATTACTCTGACTAGGCATCGGGCCTAAAGAAGATAAATGTTAGCATTTAAGTTTCTGTATATTTTCTTTAATGCTAGCTTTGAAATGCAATCATATCTTCGTGGAAATAGAGGCATTACCTAAATTTCTAATAAATTATGGAATATTTTATTGGTTGGAATGGGTGGGTAGGAAGATATTTAGCCAAACAATCCTGACTCATAGATAATATTCTGAGGGGAAAATGGCTAGTTAGAATTCTATCCCAAACTTAAAAAATGCGAGAATATTTACAAAGTAGGGTTTTTGTTTGTTTTGAGACAGGATCTCCCTCTGTTGCTGGGGCTAAAGTGCAGTGGTGTCATCATAGCTCACTACAACCTCAAACTCCTGGGTTTAAGCCATCCTCCTGCCTCATCCTCCCAAGTAGCTGGAACTACAGTAGGCTTGGGCCTCCATGGCCAGCTAATTTTTCTATTTTTTTGTAGAGATGGGTTCTCACTCTTGCTCACGTGGGTCTCGAACTCCTGGTTATTAAACAATCCTCCGGTCTCAGCCTCCCAAAGTTCTAGGATTACCAGCATCAACCACCATATCTGGCCATAAAGTAATTCTTAGTGGAAGGAGGCTGGAGTACACATTACTGGAGTACACATTACTTATTAAAATTTGTTTTATTTCCAAATGATATTATACTAATTAGTTCTGATAAAACTATCTGGGGCTAATAGAAAATTAAGAAGGAAGGAATTTCATAGGAAAAGAGGCCAAAATATAAATGAGAGGTTATAAACATTCATGCATTCGGTCTACATAATGAAAAGTTTTTGCCTCAGGTACAAAGATGACCATGTGTTTGTGCAGTTGATATCACAATTAACCCCCAAATCTTTTTCATTCAAGTAACAACTAAGGAAATTTTAATAGGGTAAAGTTTTGAATGTTAAATTCTGAACATGTAACAAATAGTGTATTGAGGAAATCGTTCTAAAGTTTTAATGAAAGCAGTCTCCTAAGGCCTGTACTTGTTCAACCTGCAATGTTCTTTGATTGTATGGTTCCTTATTAGGAATGTGAGTCCTGGAATATGGTAGTTTTTAAAGTGCCTACTTGGGGTCTTCAGGATATAAAAGAGAGCATTCTGTATGTTTATGGTGTAATATTTAATGTAAAACTACAAAACATGAGATTTAAATGTTGCAAATGGATATTAACCCCCCTTTTTTATGAGTAGTGATCAGTAAGAATATAATTCAAAATATCTCTATAGACAACAGTACAGTAATATTCATAAAGTTGGTATCAGCATGAAATTTGGCTGTGACTTATGCATCTTCAGTATAATAGGTGTGTGTTTTTTTTTAAATGGAGGCAGGAAACCCCATAAGTAAAAACCTAATTGAAGAGCAACTTTACCTTTTTCCATTTCGTCATCAATACAGTGTTTTCACAGCTTATGTTCAAATTTTTAATAGTGTGCTTGTGACAGGCTATGTTTCAAATTGAGATTTGAGAGTTATAATAATAAAAGAAATATGTAAGATGCATCTAAGAAATTATTTGAGAATCTGGAACCACCAAGGAAAAGATCAAGTAATTCTTACAAATCAAATAAATAGTACCACATATTTGAAATTTGTTTCAATTGCCATTTTGAGCTACATTAAACTGGTTAAAAATATTGAGAGATCTTGATGTGGCTGTAATATTTTTAAGGAAGGTAAAGTGCATCATAGGTATACAGTGCACAGATTGTATATTCACTCTAGAAACTTCTAGCTTACAGATAAGACCTGAGAAGAAGCTGTGGGTCAGGTACCTTAAATTAGGGATGTCTAGAAACCATCTTTCCTCAAAGTAGATGACTGAAGAAAAAGAGGGTTTTTTTTATGAGCTGCCTGTTGTAGGAAATGAGGTGACATTCCTTCATTTGCCTACACTGTATTTTCATCCTGAGTTTCCAAAGTGCTAGGGACATTGTAGAGCAACAATCATTTATTTAGCACAAACAAGCTAAGACTGGCTTTGCTTTCAAAGTCACAACCAAGTTTTAGAACTTGTTTAGGAGTCTTTGAAGAGCAGAGCTGCCTCTGAGGTTAAATCTTTGTAAGTAACAAATACCTTTACTTTGAGGTATCAGTTGCCCAGCTCTGGGATACAAAACTGTTTTAAAGTGTCTTTAAATAATCGGTGTTGAAATCAAAGAGTGAGAAATGTAATTCCTCCTTTTCTTAAAATCACAAAATCACCACGGTTATTAGATAGTGCCTTTGGTTTAATCACTTTCTTCCTGAATTCTGGAAAATGTTGCCATAAAAACACATAAAGTAATATATGTATATGATAACTGACAAACTGACTTTTGTTATATAGTGTGGTAATGTAAATAGAACATTGGAATAGTAATCACATGATTTTGACTTTGGTCCCAGTTTGTGATTTGGGGCTCTAGTTTCTTCACATTAAAGAGAGGGTTGAACTAAGTTTATTCTTTCAAAAGACCCTATACTAGGTATCCTTGTCTAGATCACTAAACCATTGGACGTGTCAGTGACCAAACCAGAAAGTAGGAATAAAGACCATTATTTTCATTGGTTGTTTTCCTTTTTTTAAGAATTTCCAGCAATACGTTATTTGTAGACATACTTATAGAGCCATAAGGGCTCTTAAAGTTCATTTTGCCCAACTCCTTCCTTTCCCAAAAAAAGACAACTTGAAGCTGGAGAAGTAGCCTCTATGTTAGTGTTAATTACATGGCTACAATCTCCTGTCTTTGAAGTTTTAAACTAAACAGCACATTAGCACATTTTAATGAATTTAGTCTGCAATGTGATGTACAATATTGGGATTGCATACTTTTTCTGAAAACCTCGTAGAACTGTCAGCTCTAACACAGAAATCAAATTTCTTGTCGGAGTAAGATTGCAACAACAACAAAATACAGAATCTTAGTTTGGAGGAACCCTAAAGGTCACGTCAACTGAAAAATATATAAGAAAGGAAGGGTGTGAACATGCTAAAAGAAATTGAATGCTTTATTCAGGTGGAGAGACTGCACAGTCTGGCAGGGACTTTTTGCCCTACTTAAAATTACAGTTAACATAAGTTTAGAGTTCTCTTTCGATGACAAGAGTGATCTGTCATTTTAGTAGCTTCTCCCGGCGCCCTCCCACCCCTGCGGGGGTTCTTTGACGTTAAGCGTGCGAGTCTGCAGTTTCCAAGTGCCCGCTCCACCAGCTCGCAGGGGACGAGTTAGCAGCGGTGGCTGCAGCCTGTTGATCCCATTTCCTCCTGCTCCAGTCCGGGTTAGGGAGTGGCTCTCCCAGGACTTCCAGTGTTTTTTGTCTCGGGTACTGGCGTTCACAGGGCTCGAGTGCATTGTTTTCTTCCAAGCAGTCTCGGATAGCGCTTCAGCTTAGACCTTTATTGTGCATTCTGTCGTCTTGGGCTGCGTGTACTCTCTTGTTTCTGGGCTTTCTCCACGCCCTTCCCAGTTTCCTGTTAGCCGAGGGGGATCGCTCTTTCTGAACGCAAAGTTCTCCTGAACCTCCCGGAAAATGCTCTTCTCTTCCGTGTGCGCCGGATGGGGATGGGGGTGGGGGTGGGCCAGAAACTGAACGCCGCGGTCGCGAGCGCAGGAAGGACCCGAGCCCCCCAGGCAGAGGCGGGAGAGGTATGGTCCTTGGAGTGGGGCTGGGGCGGGGGTGTCGAGAGATAGACAAGGGGCAGCTCCGGACCGACCTTGTCTGGGCAGTGGAGACTTTTATTTAGCTGGGACCGAGCGGCGAGGCCCGAGAGTCGCTGGAGAGAGCCGGGGTGCAGGAGGTGGCGGGTGCCCCCAAGGGTGTCGGGAGGAAGCTCCAGGTTCCCGCTCTTCCCTAGGAGCTGACCTTGCTCCCGCTGCCCAGAACGCCGGGTGGGCATCCCCACTGCCGGAGCCGCGGTTTGCGCAGAGGGTTCCCGTCTCCCCGGCCCTCCCGCCCATCCGCGGACCCAGACCGCAGAGGGAGTGGGTGGGAGACTGCCCGATGCCCGTTACCCCGTGCTCTCCACCCACGCTGGTGCGTTCTGGGTCAGGCACCCCAGAACGTCCCGAGGCTCGGAGCGCAGGGGTCCCGGGCTGGGGTTGGGGTCTGCGATCCTGGGGCCCCACCGCCGCCGCCGCCTTGGCGGGAACCGGGCTAAGGAGGCCGGAGGGCCCCTGCCGGAGGGCGTCTGGCCCTCAGCGACCCTACCCCTGCGGGAGCGGGAGCGGCGGGGGGAGCAGAAGATGGCGGCGGCGGCCAGGCGCGGGGTTCGGGGCCCGGCTCGGGCAGAGCCCACCCGCTGACCGCCGCCGCCGCCCCCGCCGGGCGGTGCTGTGTCCCTGCAGGAGTCGGAGAGGATGGCCGGGGCCGGCGGCCAGCACCACCCCCCGGGCGCCGCTGGAGGAGCGGCCGCCGGGGCCGGCGCCGTGGTCACTCCAGCCGCACCCTCCGCGGGGCCGGGAGAGGACTCGTCCGACAGCGAAGCGGAGCAAGAGGGACCCCAGAAACTGATCCGCAAAGTGTCGACCTCGGGGCAGATCCGGACCAAGGTGAGGCGGCGGGCCGGGAGGTGGAGCGAGGGCGCCTGGGGCGCGGGGCGCGCGCCGGCCGGTCCCGGGGAAGGTGGGGACACGGGGCAGGGCGGGGCCGGGGGCGCGGGGCGGGGCGGGGCCCGGCGATCGCGGGGACGGTGGGGGCGCGGGGCGTGGCCGGGGCGTGGCCAGGGGCGTGGCCGGGGCGTGGCGCCGGGAGTTGGACCGCGGCGCGGAGGCCAGGGATTCCCGGCGGGCGCGCGGGAGGCGGCGCGGGTGGGCTTGGCTGGCAAGGGCGGAGGAGCCGTGAACCAGCGGCTCTGCAGGGGCGTGGGAAAAAGCTGAAGCGCAGTTGCGAGTTCCCACTTAGGGAACTCAAAAGGAGAGTTTTGTTTTTTCCTCCCTGCCGTTCGGTGGTGTGCGCGTGTGCAGGCCGACCGGCCCGAGCTGCGAGCGGTGAGCCCCGCAGCCTTCCCGTCCCGCGGGCAGCTGGCTGCCCCTGTCTTGGCCCGCTGCGAGCGGGTGGCTGGGAGGCGACACCCTTCCCTCTGCCTCCTGTTGCCATCTGGAAGGCAGGAATGCTAGGCAATGTCAGCGGTAAATGGTGCTCGCTGTTGAACTGCACCTGCGTGGCGAGAACTCCGTCAGTTACATCTCTTATCACTTGCACTGATTCTCAGGGAAGAAGGCGAGGGCAGCAGGGGAGTTTATAGAAAGAGAACTGTTAAATTGAACTGTTGGTTCCCAGTGTTCAGTTATGATCCAGATAATTTAAAAGACAAATGATCTCTTGATCCCCTCCGCAGGTGTGTAAGATGGGAGCATCTGGAGGAGAGGTAGGCTGTAGGGTGAGCTCAAAGTCCAGTCACTTTTAAGACAGCACTAGCAGTTCTTGCTCATACGTCCTGAAGATGCACCAAAGGGCCCCTAGGTCTGACAGGTTGTGATTACTCATCTTCATTCTTGGTTGAGTAGCAGCCTGGAATGGTGTCTGTAGCGCACACACACACACACACACACACACACACCCCTATACATGCACACACATACATGCTTATGAACATATGTGTATATATGCCCTCTCTTTATCAAGCATTTGTGCATAGATATAACATAGGGCTTTCAGCAGAGTGAGTTGCACATAGAAGTAAAAAATATTTCTTAAATAAATGACTACGTGTACGTACAGATTGAATATCCCTTATCCAAAATACTTGAGACCAGAACAGGGTCTGGAATTTTTGGATTTTGGAATATTGGCATATACATAATGAGGTATCTTGGGGATGGGACCCAAATCTCCTTGCCGTTGAATGAATCTAAACACAAAATTCATTTATGTTTCATATATACCTTATACACATAGCCTGAAGGTAATTTTATGTAATATTTTTAATAATTTTGTGCATGAATTAAAGTTTTGACTGCCTTTCTATAGTGGCTAGTCACCTGAGGTAGAGTGTAGAATTTTCCACTGTGGCATCATGTTGATGCTCAAAAAGTATTGAATTTTGGAGCATTTTGGACTTTGGATTTTTAGATTAGGGATGCTAAATCTGTAGTACATACTTACATATAATGCTTCATATAGTGAAAATTATCATTAAAACATAAGTAGTATTTATTTTAGTTTCTTTTAAAATCCTTAGGATCATAAAACTATTGGGTAGGCAGTTTAGGTTTGGAGTAAAAAAAAAGCCACTAAATTAAGTAATTACTTTATGTAAAGTGTTCTTTGTTGTAAGTACTGGTTAATGTTTCAAATAATTTGAATGTTAGTAAAGGACATTAATTTAATTGTGGTATTTGAAAAATGGCCAGACTTTTTCTTAATTGAAAAAGTAATACATGCGTATAAAACATTCAAACAGCAACAGCGGACATACAGTGATGGGAGGGTAACCAATGAAAAGTAACCTCACTCCAGACCTCTGGTCTAACTTTTAAGAGGCAGTCATTGTTGACATTTTCTCTGTGTGCCTTCAGAAATTTCTATGCACATACAGGTATGTGTATATGTGTGTGTGTGTGTGTGTGTGTGTGTGTGTATATAAATTATATATGGGTATCTATTTCTTTATTAAAATCTATTATATATGGATACTTCTTAATAAAGTGCTAATGGGAGCATTTTGTAAGCTTTCTGTGTCTTGTTTGGAGATATAATATGGAGATCATTTCTTTAATGGTGTATATGCATCTACCACATTGTTTTTAATGTTAGATTGAGCTATATGAAATTGCTTTGCCAGTAAGTCAAAATTGATCAAATAGGAAAAATTTCCCATTTTTCAACCTAATATGGTATATCATCATTTAATTAACCAGTTCTCTATGGACAGAAATATGGTTGTTTTAGGACAACATGCTAATTTCAGCTTTTTTTTTTTTTCTAATGGATGTGATGACTTTTTAAATAAAGAATAGGACTGGTGTACCTTTCAAATTAGTGTGACTTAATAAGTCCTTGTGTATATTTTAGTATGTTCATCACATCCCCATACTGTGAACTTTTTGTTTCCCTTTTAATTTTCCACTTTTTTCCTGGTTTCTTTGTATGTCCATGCTGTCTATTCTACTATTTTTAATCTTTCTGTTTTTCACTTTTTTTCCTTTCTCTTTAGCAGCTAAGTGGAATTTCGGGTGGTCTCACCTAGCTGCCCAGCTGCTAAACACTGGATGATTTTATGGCTACCTTTATTTCCCAAAGGCAAAAAGTTGCTTAGTTACAAAAGTGAAAGTGATGCTGATCTGGGAAAGCCAATAAAGAGCTGTAGTACTTGTCCTATCTCTTCTTCCTCTTGACCCTTCTCTATTATTCTTGAGTTTGTGGATTTTTGCATTAGACATACTGTTGTAGAGAATACTGTTTTACAGGTATTTACTGAGAATGGGACATTTTGAAACAACACTGATACCAACTCAGACCAGTTGGGTTTTGAACATGAATGTGCAGGAGGCCTGGTATACTTTTTGTTGGCCCATGATTACTGTAATCTTTCATTTTATAGGAATGGCTGGAAGAACCTTGTTCAGGCTTGCAGACTCGGATTGTTCAACTACTGTAAACAAAATGATGATGTGAACAAATGACTATTTCTGCCATTAAGTTATCTTGGCTAAAGTCTTGAAGCTTCATGTGTCAAAAATAGTTCCTGATTAGATTTATTGTGTTCTTATTTATTTTTGACATTCATATATCTTCTTACATTTAATTTTGCATGGTCATAAATAAGACTCTAAGTTTAGGCAAAACATACCTAAACACTGAAATGATATTCAGAACTTTACAACAACATTATATCTGGATTAAGGCATCTCTTTAAGTTCAGCAAGAATAATGATCACATTCTTCAACTGGTATCTTGGTTTTAATTTAACACAAAGGTTGTATAAATAAAATCCTGTATCTTTATGGTAAGACAGAATGTGAAAATACAGATTTGTGTTTTTAATTGCCTTATGAGATGCAATTTGTGCAATTAAAACATTTATCTTTTACCACAAACCCTAAGTAGAGTAGATTAGGGAAGACTTGCTCAGCAATTTTGAAATTGTAGGTGGCAGCCGATGTGGGTCATGGTGGTTCACATCCAGCATGTAAAGCAGAAACAGAATAAATTAGAAAATATCATTTAAGACATTTAGCTATAGTTCTGGGTAGAAACACTGGAATTAGGTGCTGATCTAAACAGGATGAGAAATAGAAACATGGCCAGAAGAGTGTTAAGAAATGAGAATAAAATGATATAGGCAGGTTTGTTTGAAAGTTCAGTGTGAAATGAGAGGCAAATAGGAACTTTTGCATTCTGATAGGTGATGAGCAGAAAGAGATCTCAAATAATAAATTTACGTAGGGCAGAAGTTGGCTAACTTTTTCTGTAAAGATCCAGACAGTAGATAGTTTAAATTTTGTAGGTCATAATGTCTCTGTCAAAATTACTCAACTCTGAGAATGATGGCTGGGAGGGAGGGGATGGGAAGGTGGAGTGATGTTGGTCAAAGGGTACAAAGTTTCACTTAGACAGGATGAATACATTCTGGAACTTTTCTGGAGGATAATAGATTAAGTTCTATTCTACTGCATTTTGACTATGGTTAATATTAGAATGTTATGTTTTTGAAAACTGTGAAGAGAGCAGATCATAAATGTTCTCACCATTAAAAATAAGTAGGTGATGTATATGTTAATTAGCTTAATCATTTTACAATGTATCCATATGTCAAAATACCATGTCACATGCCATAAATATATATAATTTTTGTCAATTATACTTTAATAAAGAAAAAGAAAAAAATTATTCAACTCTATCATTGTAGGGTAAAGCAGGCATAGACAGTACTTAAGTGTGGTTGTGTTCTAATAAAACCTTATTTAAGGACACTGAAATTTGAATTGCACGTAATTTTCATGCATTAAGAAATATTATTGGCCAGGCAGGATAGCTCATGCCTTGTAATCCTAGCACTCTGGGAGGCCAGGGCAGCAGGATTGCTGGAGGCCAGGAGCTTGTGACCATCCTGAGCAAGATCAAGACCCCATCTTTACCAAAAATAGAAAAATTTAGCCAGATGTGGTGGCACGTGCCTGCAGTCCCAGCTACTCAGCAGGCAGAGGCAGGAGGATGGCTTGAGCCTAGGAGTTTGAGGTTGCAGTGAGCTGTGATGGTACCACTGCACTTTAGCCAGAGCAACAGAGTGAGACTTTGTCTCAAAAAAAAAAAAATATTATTACTTTAAAAAAAACTCACAAACATTTAAACATGTAAAAACCTTCTTAGCCCATTGACTATAAAAAATCAGGTGGCTGTCAGGATATGGCTCATGGATATGGTCTTGTGGGCTGTCATTTGTTGCCCCGTATTCTAGAAGATGAAGGATGGCATAGTTAGTTTGCCAAGCATTGCAAAGTTAAGGTGCTGCTAAATATGATCAGCGTTCAGGGGGACCAAATAAAGCTAGATTTCAATCCATTTTAAAAATCTCATCTTTGTAGAACATTTTATTTTTAGCTTGGT